GTCAGAAAACTTCAAGCCGCAATAAGCTTTCAAACCTTCCCTTCTTTTGACGAATAAATTCTTCAACAACTCTTAATCGCTGTTCTTATTTGTTAGAAATAAATACACGACCCCTAATAACTGTTGCTTAATTCTTTCTTACGCGTTTTAGTAACACTAGAAAAAAATTAAATAGTTGTGAGTATTTATTATGCTTACTTAAACCTAACCTGTGTTATCCTTCGATCAAATGACATCTATTCATTTGAACATGCTTAGTAATCTTTTACCCTAGCGACTCAATTTAGCAACTATACCAGTATAATCCAAACTTTGTGCCGCGGCACAAAAGTGTGCCGTAGAAAATTTTTGAAAATGCTACAAGCCGGACACTGTGTGCGACTTCGGTCATGGCTTACTCATGTGCCATGCCTCAAAAAGTTTTGGACAGCACTGCACTATACCTTTGTTACGTCGTCATGTTTGCTATCACGTTATGCTGCACAGGAAAGCTCTCTTTCAATTGTATCATGTAAATTAGCTTAAAAACAGTTTCTCTGGATGTTCTCGAGTTCTTAGGATCCAGTGGTTCCCACGGGCTCGTGCCGCACAGATTTAGTTAAGCTGTTAAGTGCCTTGCTGGTCCAATAGGTAAGGCGCTTGGCTCAAATTTGGTATGGTAATTCGATGGTCGTCGGTTCGAATCCAGCCATTTCCAAATTTGTTCTTTTTCAGAAGTTTAGATACTTCGACTGCTTAATGTACGAGATCAAGCCATAATTGGGCATTTTGGGCAACGTTGGATTAAGGAACGGATCAGGAACTTAAAGTGTAGCGGGAGAAATAGGAACGAGAGCTACAAGATTACCTTATAATGGAATATTGTCAGAACGGACCTGAAAAGTATCACGTCACGCCCACAGAAGATCGAAACGAGATCCTGAATTTAATCGAAGCCTAGATGTGAAGATTAGAAGCTTGATTCTATGTCATCCATTTAAATGGCATAAAAATTCCCGTTAAACCTCCGCAAATAGCTCTGAAAAAAGTCTTTAAATATTTAATTAATGAATAAATCTACAGATTCTGCTATATATATCACTCATAATTCTCACTAATTTATTATCAATTTATTTTTCGATAAAGATCCATCCATTAATGAATAATTAAAATAATTTTCCAAGTAGAAAAAAAAATCAGATACAGTCGAGAGTAAAATAATAGGAAATGATGAGATGAAGTAGAAAAGTTTATCAAGTATTTTATATTGGGGATTAAAATTATTATTTTCTGTTATTTCTTGCTATTAAATCTTTTTCGAAACATCAACATGAAACTTATTTTGTGGAATTTGCATTGACGTACATTTTTTAAGTGCTTTATAAAGTTGTTGGCAATGCAAAATGCACAAAAAATGTTCATAGATAATTATTATGGGAATAAAATAATAAAATTTTCATTATAATCTTTAAGACTGTGTGCACTTAAGAAGCAATTTGGGGTTCATGTTGTGTAGGTTGAAGACTCTCTTAACTCGCAAGCAGCATAAGTCAGCATATTGACTATGGTTGGCTGTTGACTTTTAACCACTTTAAGTTGGAAAAAAAGGAAATTTTGGCGCCAAATTACTATATGTTACCATCCGATGGCCTCCACTTGGAATTGCCACGTCGGATTTAACTCATTTAAATTCAAATTTTAAAGCACAATATCTGAAATCACATCCCAAACTTTTGCTTCTTTAACTGCACACATTCCAAAGCTCTTCATCATTTGAAACTTGTTGCTTAAACTTTATTTTTTTTTAATAAATTTTTAATACTCTCTTTTTTTTGTTATTATCGATACTGAATGGAACATACATTATAAACATTCATGAGATATAATTTTTTTTTGTCTTTATTACTGAATAATTAAATGCTTTAGATGCTTCATGTCTTTTATTCTTTATTATCATAAAATAATGAATCGAAATTTAATTGCTGTCTCGACAGATAAAAATTATGTCGATACCGAGCATTTATTCGTCATCATCTGCTTCTTTTTAAATATTCTTGTGACTGGGAGGATTTTTATAGGATTTGTGGAGTCAATTTTTATGATGTACGCAGATCTTTTGGTTGGATTTATTGACTTTTTTAAGATTGATTATTTCTGGTGACAATTGAGTTGTGTTGTGGTGGAGTTCCACACTGAATTATTGAAACAATTAGTATGGCACTATGAGTTTTGAGTTTAACTTCGAACATTGTATATTCGCAACGAGTTTTCACTAGGAAAAATCGATTCTAATCCTTTACAAACTTAAGGTTGAATGTTTATTCGAAAAAGTAAATGTGTTTCCCAAATAGCACAAGTCGGATAATCGAGAAATACTACGCAAAGACGACATCTTCGGGCAAATTTTTCGTTTTTCTCAAAATTCGCCCTAAAGTGAGTTAATAATTAACCCTAAGCAGGAATTTCCTGGAGATCATTGATTGCTTACTCTAACGGCTGAACTTTCGAATGTTTGTGAAGGTGCTTGACCAAATACTACCTTTAGCTATTGAACAGCTCTGGACAGATAATACAATTTTTGCAACTGTACCTGAGAACCTCTACAATTACTAGAATCTCTCATGAAGAAGGTTTTCTACCAAAGTCTTTGGAGAAACACAATCTACGAGTTAATACGCATTACGTTCTTTTAATATTTTTTAAATAACTTCAAAATTTGATTCTACTAAATCCAGCTGCACCACAAATCCATAAAAATCCATCCTCAAGAACTATGGGCATTATATTTTCATTATATAACAATTATAATAATTTTCTTTGTGTTCGCTAATTTTTTTTGTTCATATATTATAATAATTTTTTATACGTTTCGAACTATTTTGTTAAATACTAAAATTTTGTGACACTTTGCAGTTTTTTTTATAGTTCCTTTAGTGTTATTTACAAGATTTTTACACTAAAACCAATTGATATTTCATACTTTTTTGTCCTCATTCATGTTATGAGTGATTTTATTTTTTACTTTTGAAGATAAATTTTCAATTATAACAGTTGCGAATAACCTAGAATTAACATAGTTTCCATCTTTCGAGTTTGTCAATGCATAACATTAGATATTTTTAAACATAATACTTGAAATTCTGCATGATTACCATAGTTGGGATAAGATTCAAGTTGTCAATGATTCGATAGTGACAGTCTCTTGATTAACGTTCATTTTTAATTTGAATTTTATTTATTGTTGCATAGTTGTTTACCCCTTTAAGAAAATTCACTGAATTTCGAGCAATAAACATGGTATTCTAATTCAATTGATTAGACGTCATTAAGGTACAGAAGTTATTAAGTAATTTGAATATCAATCAAAGTTTGGTCAAAAGAAGCAGCAATTAGCCTTCAATTGTTCTTCTTTATAAACTTTTATAAACTTTCTAAGCATAAAAGCAATTCCTCGCCCGGAACTTTATTTTATTATCTGTAAATATCGATTTCTCTTGATCTTGGCTTCTTTATGCTCTATAAGCATGAAATTGTTTTGATTTGTTTACGAACTTCAATGAAAATTATTTTATGAATTTAGATCAAATTCCATTAAATCAATTGTCTAGCCTACATGGAATATTAATCTCAAGATTTTCTGCTGAGTTTGTTCTTGTAAATTAAATCAATTTCTGCGAAGAATAGAAAGCCAAAATGACGAGACATCGTTAACGGCGATAGATGGCAATTACGACGAATTTTTGGATGCTTTCCAATATTTCATAAATCTAAAGATTTATTGCCAAACTCAATTTCGCTTGTCGAGACTGTCATCTCTAGGATCAGAATCATGACGAGACTATGGTAATCTGCATCATGTATTTTATCCACCATAATTTATTTCACTACAACGATATGACTTTTTTAAATGTTAAATTGCAATCTTACAAATCGCGTCTAATTAGAACTAAGGTATGTCTATGTAAATCAACGAAAATAGAGATAAATACTTGGAATTGAAGAAGCTGATGAATCAAAATTATTGGTAATGAGAATTCCAACAAATTTATGATCTCATTAGCTGCTTAAGTGATGTGAAATTTATTATATTGATGCTGGATGTTTTATAGAAGGATATGCCTAAAAGAATTCCAATTACTTTACGATAGTAAGTCATGAAGTTTCTTTTAACTTGGCTTTAAATCAAATGATCTTACCCTTGAGGTAGAAAATGTCAAGCGAATCGACTAGTTGCTAAAATTATTGTGACTTACCTCAACCTTGGCATTTTTTTAAAAAATTTGAATTGACTTCTTAAACTCATAGATCTATTCAGAATGTATTTTCATAAATCCAGGACATGATTTTGCTCTGTAAATACATCAATCAATAAATTCTCGAATTTCCGAATCATTATTCACATGAAATTGACCTAATAACCCATAAAAATCACATCATTAAAGCTGCCAGAAGCGATCAAATTTCAAAACTAATTATTTGTTGAATTCACTTCCATTTCACCATTTTGTAGCTCTTACTATAATTGTGATTATTATTATTAAATGTATATGCATACCTCTTTTATTATTTTTTTTAATTCAATAATGAACAATCAATGGAATTTTCCTGTCACCATCCTGTCGATTAAATGCCTAATTCGATTCATCATCTGAATATTATGTGTATGTGACTTGTATATTTATAAATGATTCAACATTTTGACCTTTCTTCTCTATGTCTATTCCGTCTTATTCCTTTATGCATCAATCAAAAAGGGCGGGAAGAAGGAAATTTCAATATTGAAGATAAACTCGGTTAAAATTTATATTTTTTTTTCATATGAAAATATAAGAAAAAAAATGAAAAAAGACGAGGGTAGGAGGAGGAAAAACGATGTCCATAATTTTTTGACAGGACATGAGAAAAAAATTTGTTCTATATAATAATTCTTTCTGAGAGATGAGAAAGCTTTCTTGTTTAATCTTCTTCTTCTTAATAAACATCTTTTTATAGTATTTATTTTTATTAAAGTGTGGAGGAGCTTAGCAATTGCAATTTGTATTCGGTGTCCCCTGAGGTTGATCTGTCAAGCGTTGGCCTTTCGGTGCGCCACCAACCATTGCTGGATCTGAGTCCAAACTCTCTGACATTTTGTCGCATATTATGTCTACTAGGCGCTCGAATACATTCTGAAAATAAAAATTGAGGATAAAATTAATTTTTTTTTTCAAAGCTTTTAATGATGAAAGTCCACTTAAGGATGGATTAATTAAGTTTAATTGAATAATTGAGTCTGTGCTAATTGAAATTTACTGAACATCCAAAAGGTAGATTAAAAATCGTTTTTTTGTGCTTTACATTGCTGTATGGCAATTAAGGGACTTTGATCAAGTATAATGGTTCATCAAGCCCCAATCATTCAGCGAATTTGTGATTTTTTAATGAACTTTATGTAATTTTTGACTTTATTTTTATAGCTTCAGATTCCTATTAAATCAGGAAAATTGTGAAAAAGTTTTGAAAATGAAGACAATTAAAAGTGAGCATTTATTGACAAAGTTAATTAAGGTAGTTAAGGTTTCTTGGAAGTTTTGTTGAGATTTCTCTGTGAATGTTTAGAGGGTTGGGTAATTTGGTTGTCATGGCCAGAGAATGAAGCCAACTAAGATTTATTTTTATAGATTTGTCGACCTGCTACATCTGGTCATGACTCATCAAAGTTTTAATAAAATCTTACCTTAACATTGATATTCTCCTTAGCGGAAGTCTCGAAAAACTCAACTCCCAATTGATCAGCTAGTTGCTTGCCTCGCTCAAATGATATTACACGCTCGTCTTCCATATCACACTTATTTCCAACCAATATCACTTGTGCATTATCCCATGAATATGTTTTTATTTGAGTAATCCTAGAAACAAAATGGACGTGAAAATATTAGACATGAAATTATAATTTTCAGATGCTCTCAATTTACCAATCTTGAACTGAATTGAAGCTTTCCTCGTTCGTGATGTCATACATGAGAATGAAGCCCATAGCTGTTTTTATATATTTTTATAGATGAAAATGGAAAAATATTGTGAAAGAAAATGGAAAATTAAATTATTTATAAATTGACTTAAATCATTATTTTGTAGACTGAAGAGACAATCGAACGACGTTTTGTTGGATGTTGACGAAGACGTGAATAAATTATAAAAGAAATTTATGAATGGATATTTTTAGGTCTGATGGAAAATTGAAAAATTTATGGTTTTTTAATGTTGAATAAATTAGAAAATTGTTGGTTTTTGTTTATATAATGACAGTTAAAATGTTTAATTCAATTAAGACGGAAGCAGGAAGATGTCAATTCTTTAGAGTTCCAGAAAAGAATTAAAAATTTCAAAAAAAGAAGAAAACAACTTTTAAGCAATTGATCAAATTTGATTTCTAATAATTGAATTTGTTTTCAACTTTTGATATTCTGATGTCTAGACATCACCAGTTATCACCAAATTAGAATTCTCAACTGTTTTCAACATAAACTTACTTAATGACATTTGTTTCTATTGATCAACAATAGAGCCAGAACGAACACAAACTTTTGTTTCCATATTTGTCTCTAGACACTTTTTGAACCAACAACAATTTATCACTGATTGAGTAATTACCATCCGTAAATTGATAAAATGAAATTGACATTAATTGACACATTTGTTTGTTGTCACGTATTTCCAAAAAATGTTGGTCATGTCTAACCAAAAGAAAATAAGGAGAAAATTTAAATAATTTGGGCAATTTTGAGGCAAAGAGAATTGAAAAAGTTTTCATGACCCAACAATTGTCAACCAGAAGTTATCAACCATCTTTCCATCCCTCTAATTCCGATTCATTACCACCAACAGTTTCTTCGATCTACAGAAAAATAAATAATTACGTCTTAATGCACCATAGAAACCTCATGAATCGACAAATAGAAGCTAATGAGATGTAACATGATCGTAGTCAAAAAATTGAAAGAAACCCAACAACATTGTGGGCAGCACGATAAAACTCTTTAAATTTAGATAATGTAAGTCTAATGGAAGGGAACAGAAGAGAATTGAACAGCATATGATATGAATCTAAACATAATAACGGGCCACATTAGGATCGAATTTCTCGATATTGGTTTATTAAAGGCTGGTTGTTAAAAAGTTGGAGAAAATAGATATTCAAGGCTAAAGATGGTGGTGTATTGAGGTTTAAAAACTTTCTAGAATTTTCATAAGTAAACATTCAAAAGCTCCTTGTTCATTAACTTTACATCCTATTCAAAAAAAAAAACTCTGAAAAAGTTTATTCAAGCTTTAAAACTGTCGAAAATTGTCGCCTTAAGCAACAATCAAAAGAATCACAATTTCCATCACCAAAATCGTCCTTTTCTGTAATCATAACAAAGTACTTCTCATAAATTCTTAACATTATGGACTCACAAACTGAGAATATAATCTAAGCTTTGAGATATTCTCACTGCTAAGAGAAGAAAAAGGCAAGGTAATTTTTCAATTTTGTTTTACACAATGTACACTTAGGAAGAAACATATTTACATACATAAAAAATGAACGGGAAGGTCAAATGAAAAAGATTTTTTTAAAAGAGATATTTTCTGGGATTCATGAATAATTTAGGATCAGTGAATAAATTTACAATAACAAACTGATGACAATGTGAGCTTAAATGTTTTATTATCCAATGATTTTGAGCAGCAATATTGAGGTTAAAGTTATGCGAAGATAACCTTAGACTTTTCGTTCTTAGCGTCCACGCCAAGATTTTATAGAACATAATGTTTAAATTTTCTTTTAAAATCTATCAAGATCGAGTCATCAAGAGTCAAAGGTCGTCCAACAATCGATTGCCTGAAGTAACTTTCAATTATTTAAGGCGTAGAAAACTCACCTCCTCGATAGTAGGCTGTTGTTATCGTTCTGTATCTTTCCTGTCCGGCAGTATCCTAATAATATACAAGCAAATACAAAAAATATGAAGAAAATAAGCAATACAAAATTGTCAAAAAGTAGAATCAACATAAAGTGAATGAGCAAGAAGCTGAGTTTAAAAAGAATAATCTTTTATAGGAAAAGTTTGATTAAATTACTATCTAGCTAAAGTGTTTTATGTGATCTTAGGAGATAGCAACGATGAAAGAATAAAAAGAAGATATTGAAAAGGAATCGAATGAGTTGGAAAATGTATTTGTTAAGAGGGAAAACTGCTTCGCTTGCCATGGAATTTTTTATTGCTGCATTGAAATTGCGATTCAATTTTGATTACCTATTTTTAAGTATTTTAAATTGAATAAATTTAAAAATGGTTTGTTTACATTCTCACTTGGAATTTTTGTTGAGATTATTAAACGCCATTTAGAGGATTTGAGTAAGTTAAACGATTGTAAACTACCTGATGAATGTGAGCAAAGAGTTCGCTCTTAAATTTACCAAACAATTCATTCTTAATCATTGAAAATTTGGAAATATAATAATTTTTCAACAAAAAGTAAATTTAAGAAAAAAGTGGAGAAAATTTAAACACATAAATAACGGCTAAAATCAGTTATCTAACTTTGGATCAGATCATGCAAATTCTTATTATTTTTAGATTATTTGCCTAGTGGTCATTTAAATTCAGACAAAATGGTAACTTAATATTCAATCCATGAACATGCAGAGAAAAAAAAATCATCCTCCCAACAAAAGGCTCAAAAATGATGCTGAAAAAGAACAGCAAACATTTTCAAATGTCGGATGATATCCCGGAGGCACTTGGAACATTATGAATATCTGCTTCTGCTTCTTTCAAAAAGATTTTTGAAAATAATTTTTCTCTTTTATTCGTCCTTGTTCCAATAGTATGTGTCTGTATATGAAAATTTGCCTAACTTTATTTCTCGTACGTTCTCTTCCTACTGTGAAATTTTCCGTTTCTCCTTATCATTCTCATTTTATATTCTATATTTCACGCAGGAGTAAAATTCCTTTTTATTCGAAATAATGCGTTAAAAAGCTTTAGAGAAATTGAAAGAATTTTTCACACTAGAGAAAAAAAAGGCATTCATCATGTAGAGAGAAAATGTGTAAGAAAGTCTACGTTGGAAAGCTTCAAGGGTAAATTTACATTCATTTTATTATTCTCATGCTAACATACTGCCACTGACTCTATTCATAATTTTTATTTTGACTTAGTTCCCCTCTATTGTTTGTAATTTCCTTTTGACATGAACACAAAATTTTCACTTTTTTCGTCCCTTTTATTACATTACATTAAAAAGTGAATGGAAGGTTTGTGCATGATAATTAGAGTTTATGGAATGACGCTTGCTAGTGTTGTACGACAGTGTAAAATATAGGTAAATGTGTCACTACAAACAATAATAATTAAATGAAGTTATAGAACTGTGCATGGAAAGTTTTTAATGATTAGCATGATCTGCTAATAATATGAATCATGAACTCAAATAAACTTTCCATTAGAGTCAAGTCAGGTCTGATAGTCATATGTATGTGTGTTCTTTAGTGATTTCAAGTTGGATTCAACTTGGATTGAATTTGTACCTTCTAAAGATTGCTTAACCTTAATGTTATCACTTAATGCCAAATTTGACATAGAAACAACTTAAATCACATCCGCTGGTCATAAAATACATACTCCAGCCTTGCCAAGACCAAATTTTTTAAGGTTAATCTCGGAATATCAACAAGCATTTTTCCCATAACTACTCTGACTACATCTAACTTACACGTATTCATCACAAACTTTAATAATCTCAAATCTAACCCTTTGGTCACAATCAGAACCATTCATTCTATCTATTATTCCCACATTACTCATCAACAGTCTGTAATTTTGTCTAGCAGATTGTAAACTTTTTGGTGACACAGAAAATATCAGACAGAAAATTGCTGACCAGAGATAAAATATGAACTTAATTTTGTTAGCTGGCTACATTTTATTGCCATATGGGCGCAAACCATATTATTTTCTGCATACTATATAAATTACAATGTTCTGTCTAATGCATAAGGTCGACCAAATGCATGCATAAATAAGAAGACGACGATTGAACAATTTTTTCAATTTTAATTCAGAAAAATAAAGGGGTTGGAAGATATTTGGAAATCTACAGCTTACAATTCAGAAAATTGTTAAACTGTCAAATGTCAATGAAAGTTTATCAAATTCTTTTAATGATAAGCATAGTTCCAAAAGTCCTTGAATTAAAAGAATGTTCAAAAAGGAAATGCTACATTATGGCATCCTTTTTTGAGTCAAGTGACTATTTCCTTCTTAAGTATGCCATGTGAATCGTCGATTTAAAGACGGAAGGGTACAAGTTGATACTTACAGAAAAGGTATGCAACGGGAGACTATGAATAGCTTTTGAAATATCCTAAGGGGGGACATACTTAATGGAAAAAAAGAAAAATATTTTAAATCGATTTTGACAATTTTTCATAGAATTTTGAAACACTGTAATAGTTGATTAAAAAAATCCATAAGTTGTTTCCCCCGTGAGACATTCGAAATGAACATTATTGATCTAAAATCTTCTAGAAATTCTGCAATTTATTCCAAATTTTAGTTTACTTGTTAAAAGCTAGGTTTTGGGATCAATACTCGAGCATTCTATCCAATGATGACTAGATGGCTCTTGTCTGAAGCATAATCATTTAATAAAATTGTCACAATACTCAGCAAATGTATCATAAATGGATCAATATGAATATAACTCAATAAGATAAATGATGGAAATTATAAAAGTCAATAAATTTCCACTTCCCTCATACATAAAATAAGAGAAGATACTTTATCCTCATAAATCAAACTTTTCACACATGAGCTCGATAGGATGCAGGGCGTATACACAATAATATATTGGGTTACATAAGAGTTTTTTAAAGTAAACAGAACGAAATTTTTATTACTCACCCATATTTGAAGTTTCACTCGCTTATCATGTCGAAAGACTGTTTTCACTTTAAAATCAATACCAACAGTTGAGACGAATGCGGACGTAAATGAATCGTCCGCATAACGAAATAGGAAACTAGTTTTACCAACACTTGAATTACCGATGATTAACAACTTGAACATATAATCAAAATTCTGATCTGTAGCGTCTTTTTGCCATTTTGGATCGCCGCCTCCAGCCATCTGAAATAGATAATTATATGATTAATTTATGAGGGATTATATTGTTGATGACGAGAACAACTGTTTTTTGGGTTTTGAATTTCAATTTTGGGATTAATATTGTCATGAAGAGAAATTGATGAGTATTTTTGGAATTATTAAGTTGATCTGCTATGCGACTTTTAATGCCATCAAAAAAAAAATCAGATGCTAATATTTAAGATCCTATAAAAATTGATCCTTATCCCCTAAAATTACACTCTATGTGTTTTTTCACCGAAATGAGGTTTGCATATGCTTTAATCCCATTTTCATAATAAGATCTTAGGTGTCTATCTACTCCATAGTACTCAAATAATGCCATTCAAAGCACCCCCTCCGTTTATAACTGTGAAGAGTTCTTAATATTAAAAAGCACTTAAAGAAAAAGCAGGATGTTTTTGTATAAAATTGTCTATAAAGTGGCGCTAATGGAGTTTTTTTTGAGCTCATCATTTTTTAGCATGAATTACTTGAATGACGAGTGATTTAGAAGAAATTTGTGTATTTAAAAAAAAACTGTTGCAATGCAACCCAAACATACAGATTGATATAATTCTTAAATTCCAAACTTCTTCGTTCAAACATTTTCTATTTATCTTGCAAAGTCTGCTCCAACTACGCCTCAACATTTAACAGAATTACTCAGCAAACTTTTAATACACAACTCCTACAATTTTTACATTCATTATTATTTAAAGAATTTGAATGAAACAAGTCAGCAAATTTATTCATTCCATGAATATTCACAGAAATTCCCACGTGATGCTCAATGAAAAATCAAGAATGTCTTCCCACAGCAACAGCTAATTTGTTGATGCTTGTGTAACCTTGCAGCCATGAGCTTGAGTGAATTTGCCTACGGATTTGAGGGTTGTAAATCTATTTTGAGTTATTGGTTTGATTGTCATTCATTTTGTAATGTAATACGCTTTTAATAATTAGAACTTAACGGACTTTTATAATTCAAACTTCAAATCAACTAAATATTAGTCGGAAAAAGTACCAAACTATCCTTAATGGATTAAACCTGCTTTTAGATGAAGCTACGTGCATAGGAATAATTGCACTGTTCTGTCTATACCAACCGTAAATTTATGAGAAGTTTCAATTTAGTTTGATAATGTCGGAAACTAAAGCTTCAAGTTCTCCAGCTCTAAAGCTTTCATTCTTTAAAAAAATCAAACATCGCCATACTTCAATCCACTCAGAAAATCGTTTCATACGTCTAATGTAAATCTCTTGAAATATGAGAAATACACATAGAGATAAGTGTCATGAATATTGAAGCCATATTTTAGATTCATATCTTGTCACTTGAAGTCTATACTTGTATATTCTTATCCCAACATCAGCCATCTAAACATAAATGCAACACTTTAGATATCACAGCCTTAGCTCACAACATTCTACTGTATACATTCTTTCTCATTGTTTGTATAAAGTGAGCTTGATGTAGAAGTGTTTTTAGATTCAGTCGAGCATGAATGATTCCATTCTTATGTGGGCGTTTTAAAAAATGGAATTTTCTTTTTCTCATTCTTGATTGATGGCGTTTAAGATGATAAAGATATGTCTGTGATAAGAAATGAGCTGAGAAAACACGTGAACTTTGTTTATCCTATGGCGACTATCCTACAAATTGAGACGATTGGAGATCTTAAACGAACGAGAAAAATGCGATGAGGTTGGCAATTTTTATTTGTTGTTGTTTGCAAGATTATTTTGTGACCCAGGGCAATATTAATGACGTTGTGCTTCTAAAGTAAATAAATAATGTATGAGAGAGTTCTTTTTTAATGAAAAGTGGTTCTCGGAAATTCATCATACTGTTGGATAATTTAAAAAGGTCTTTCTCCTTTTACAAGCTATGATAAATTGTTAAAGGAACCGAGAAATTTAATGAGAATAAATTTGAAGATGTGGGTTGTTTATGAGAGAATTTGTTTATTATTCAGCCAGCTTTGAATATGAAATGATGTTTCATCAATTTTTTGGGGGGATTTTGAAGCACTAGAAATTATTGATTTTTATGGATATGACAAGCGTTGCCTGTTTCTTATTGTATTTGTGATTGTTGGTACCTAAGGGGCCACTCAAGGTAACCCATTGAGGTTTATAAACTGTATCGTGAATAGCGATATTTTTTAAGTATATCAGGTCATAGTGGAATCTAGAGTCTCAAGCTATATGTTGGTAAATCTGTCAGGATTAAAGTAAAGCTACTGTATTCAATTGATTAGACAACAGACAATAAAACTGTAACTGTAATTTTGTGAAGACATGAGTTCGATTCCTAGCTGAGGTCAATCCCTCAATAATTAATTAGGTAGATCTGACAAGAATTCACGATACTTTACGATCATCGCGAACCATAGCTCTATTGATAACAAAAAATAACCGAATGCAGTGTTTCAACAGATGCCATGACATACCGACGAAGCAATTCTTATTTGCTCTCCGTTAAACAAGACAAGCATCCACCGCCTCTTCATATCCACGCAGACAATAGCATATCACATCATAATGTTAATTAACATATTAAATTAATTCATAAGAATATCTTATGATTTTCTATATTGAAGAAGGAGCAAGAAATTAAGCATATTATTTTATATAGACAGCACCATGTGTGGATTATATAAATAAAATTATGTACTAAACGAAAAGTGATGTGGATATAGACAAAAGATGGTGACATTAACTTAATGCTAAAAAAAGTGACACGACAAAGTTTCTCTTTTTTTCACATTTCCACAAAGATGCTGTAATCTTCTTCTGTCTCCTTTTTTTTATATCATAAGCATATGTGCTTGGAATGGGTCCGTGTAATTAAATTTTATAAAGGGCCTGAAAAATTTCTGCTTCCATTCATTTTTCTCATTTTTTATGAAAATGACCTTTTTGAAATGGATAAAACTTTTTAGCAAATGCTGCAGGAACGGATGTGAATGCTGCTGCTTTTTCTTTAAGCTTTACGTCATCTGATCATGAATATCAGGACTCACGTGTAGTCGAAAGAATGACAAATGAGATTTTTATTTTGTATGGACTTAGAAATTTTGTGTGCTTCAGAAGCATTATTTCAAGGTTGAGATGTGTCATGGAGGTATGTACAGGCTATAGATAAATATAGTAAGAATAATTCTCAAAATAACCTTTTTCTCTTACTAGATATGCATTTTTAAAAATAGCTGCCAGGCTATTCATGTCACATAAACTTAGTTCCAAATGTAAATATTTAATCAACAAAACTGCACTCTATACCCTCCATATAATCTACCCTCCTCAGTCATTTTTGTAATTTTCCTCAATGTAGGATATGGCATCAAATAAAATATGAAAAAGTAAATTGCACGAGGAAGCCTTCATTCATAATAAAATATGGAATAAAAAAAGAATTGCAGCATTTGTAAATGAAAAAGGGTACGAAGAAGAATGAAAATTATAATTGAAAGTCCTTGGCTTATATTCCTTTTTATTATTAATGGGAACGACGATGATGATTATGAAAAGAATTTACAATCATAGCTTGCCTTTGCCTACTGCTGTGTCTATTTACTAGTTTACGTCATTTTGAATATAGGACGATAGAAGATAATTTTTTGACGTAGTCATGCATCTCAAAAAGGAATGGAAGGCAGATCATAATTTCATGGTCAGTTCTCCTCTTGGTCATGAAAATTTTATTCACAGCATGAGAAACTATTTCAATTCAGAATGAAAAGCATGATAGAAATGAATAGATAATAATCTTATAAATGACCTATTTCTTGAGCTATCCAGCAATAACTGGTTATGAACGGTATAATAATTTCTGAGAAAAATTTCCTGCTAAGTGCTTGCTTGAAGCTTCTGTCAATTCACATTATGAATTAAAATCATTTTAACGATATTTAGTCATTTGAATTTTAACGGAATTTTAAATATTTGAATTGGATTGATCTACTTAAGGTAGAACAAAATTTTACTGAACTCGCTCTCTTTAAAAATAAAAAATCAAGCAAGAAGGAAGGAAGACAAAAAAGGAAATTAATTAAAAAGGGAAAAAGAGTAAGAAATCAACAAAAAATTATATTGTAATAAAATTAACATGGTACATTTTACAGGATTAAAGTGAAAATATAAAATTAAAATAAAACAAAAAACACGAAGTGAAATAAAAATTAAAAAATTAAAATTGTGAATCAAAAAATAAAATAAAAGGTTAAATCATCACTTAAATCTCAAATTAAAATTAATATTTTAATTAATTTTCTTGTCGTAATCGACAGCTTCAATGAATATTTAAAATTTATTGTACCTAGAAATGCGATTTGAATCAAGCAAGCAAGAATGGAAGATTGTGAGTGGAATATGGAGTATTAAGCTACTGCAAATGAATTCTCGTGTTGAAATATGCATTTTTGAAAGCTTTTGAAGCAGAAAATAACAGGATTTGAAGAGTTGAATTCACAATCATGTTCGCTAGTGCTGCAAAGTTTTCTTTGAAGATTATTAGAGCATGAACGTATCTAAAGGTATGAATCGCTTTCTCATCTAAGGTATATGAAGAATATACTCTTGTTTTGAGGTCTTGAACATTAGAGAGGTACAAGAATCCCTTGAACATTTAACACAAATTGACTTCCATTAATGCAATAAAGTAGCACATAAACAGTACATTATTTGATAAGAGCCACTTAAAGTAAATGTCTAAATAGATAGATATCCTTCTTACAAGTAATATCATTTAAGCAAACACATCTGTTCCTTTGCCACAGATACTTCCTATCAATGCTTCCTTTAAAATTGCCAATTTCTGTAGCTTTAACCATTTTCAAACAAACTCTCGAGTCTGTTTTCATCTCAATACATAAAGCTTCTGTTAAGGAAGATTCTCTCTCTATATAGATCCAATGCTGATCACATGCTGAGTCTTTCCATCACATTAAACTATAATAAAGTGCCTCCAAATTGTCCGTAAATTTTATGTTCAACAC